AAAAAAAAAAGAAATGAAAAAAGAAAAAAGAAAGAGTAAAATAATAAAAGTACTGTTTTTACGACCTATATCAGACGATTATAAAATGTGTTATTTAATGTAAAGTCAAAGTACATTTTATTTTGTTGCTTAAATTTACTTGTACCAAAAAAGTTTTAGTGTTATTTGCTGTACATTTTATGCCATAATTTTAGTGGTAAATATGTAAAGTTCAAAGTTATTAAAGCTACCAAACGCAATAATTGTCTGCTGCAAAATAAACATATAATTACCATTTGTAAAAGAAGTATTCTAAAAATTTTTTTACTACATAACTATATTAAAAATTATTTATAATGATCTGTATATGGTTATAATACTGATGATTTAATATGCGGTATAAATGAATGGATAGAGGAAGATTTGGGGAAAAATTATAAAATGTCCCACCAATAAAGCCCCAATTATCTCTATTGTAAGATAGATCAAAATTGCGCTTAGCATTTTTCTAAATTTTTAAACTTTTTAAATCATCTAGAACCGAAAATGTGTAGAACAATCTGTAGACTAATGGCTAGAAAAATAGGCTTATTGGTGAAGATTTAACGTGGTATTTCCAAAACTGAACAAAATAGCGAAGGAATCCACTAAAGACGAAAATACAGAATAAAGACGTTTGAAAACACTGGAAATAAAAGTTTAGCACCACTAAGTAAGTAAGAAAAACAGTTATCTTTGCAATTTTCAGATATCATAAACGAACAAAACTATATGATGCTTACAAGCACAAAAAATAACTAAACAACTGAAAAGGTCCAAATATTTTAGCAAAAACGCGACTTTCAGATGAGATCTGTACGCTTTAAGAAGTATGCTTTAAAAAAACTAAAGAAGTAAAGCAAAAAATCTGGACTTAAAGAGTTGGATATTCCAATAAATACTAATACATTGAAGCAACACTCTCAAGTTCCATCAAAATTAATTAACAATAGGCAAAACAAACTGAGATAAAAGAGGTGGATTTTTTTTTTAGAATTTCTTATCACTGTATCGTAGAGCTGTTATAAGCAGACAGATAACAGGCTGTTTTTTAATAGGCTTTTTAAATACAGGTCTGCTACAGTCATGTATATCTAAAGCAGTGAAGGTTGAAAAACATTGAAACTTTTAAAAAGCAGTGCATTTCCAAAAAAGAACACTAATCAAAACAGTTTCTTGTTATTTAACTTTCACACGTGTTCCACTTTGCTAAATGGAAGTACGATGGGTGAAGAAATAGACTGACTACGCTTGCTAGCCTGACCATCAACGTTAGTATTTTTAATTACGGTTGAAGGGCTTAGCAAATTACTACGAGACACTCTTGGTGATGGTAATGCTGAAAATGGCCCTTCGTCGATCATCTTCCACGAAAGGAACGAGAATCGTCTTCCAACAGAAGTATGGCGCCGCGGAAGAGGCGAAGAGTTACGAGCAAGCATCGAATTGCTCTGACTACATGTTCTTGATCTCTGAGTTTCTGTAAAACTGGCTTCGTATAAAAGTCCGCAAGTATTGAGAAGAATTTGAGTTTTTCGAATCCAATCAAAAATGTGACTTATTTTCAAACAAAATAAATTCCGTCATCTTTGAAAATGCTACGAATTATATTATTAGCAGATTAAAAAAAGTAATAGGTGTTCTCTTATTCCAAAAACAACCTTGCGATAGAATGGGTACGTAAAGAATGTCAGGGATGGAAAAAAAGTAGAAACTGACCAGCTGGTTCTTCAGTTTCTGGAAGTTTTTCTTTTAGCAAATTTCCAACTGCTGAAGCGACAAAACCGTCTCCGAGAACATTGATAGAAGTTCGAATTCTGTCGCTTAAAATGTTGACCATATTCGCATTATTCAAAGTAGTCTATTAGACTCGTGTTATATAAAAATTGGTCCATTTCCGGTGGCCTTATTTAACGCCATTTTAACTTATTCCAAACGACGTGATTTCTTGTCTTTTTCGAAAGCTATCATATCTTGTTTTAAAAAAAAATAAGCAGAGCCCCAAGTTTCATTTCGTAACCAATGTCGAAGTTGGTTTGAGCAAAAAAAAAAACTAACATAAGCCAATCAACGGTAAGCAGTAATGGAACATCTTCGGCCGTTAGTCCAACAGTGCTTAGAATCAACAGGATGCTGACGAGACCTACTGGTACCGATCCCAAACCTAACGATGCCACAGTTGCAGTAAGACTGAAGTATCAGGCTTGTTTTTTGTAGTTACTTAAATAACAGATCTGTTTTATAAGTTACCTATTAAAGTTCTAAAATGTAATGTTTCAATGGAAAATGTTGAAATTTACAATAAGCTGCAGTCGAACTCTGATAAAAACTTGTGAGAACAGAAGTTTAGCGTATGCTCAAAAGGAAAAAAAATGGGTTACAGAAGAAAGCTGAAGAAAAGAGCTAACAAGAATTGAAACGAAAACGAGAACTGACTGCTTCTGATGTACACTCTTAAACATCTACAACACTGAACATTTGGTGGAAAATAAACCTCACTGTCGCCATTTCAGTTAACGAAAAGGATACGTTGTTTAGCTGAGCCACAAATATCACTGCGACTGCTTCATAGAGTGCATTACCGTCCTGTATGAAAAAAATGAGTTAATGTTTAGGAAAACGGTCAATCTTCTACAAAATAAAAAAACTTTTTTTTAAAACATCTTAAATTTTTCTGATTTATGAAGTTGTAAACAATTAATTAACCATATTTATCGTTGTTCCTAACGGTAATACAAATCTAGCAATTCGTTTATCGACAAAAAGTTTGTTCTCCACACACTGAATGGAAACCGGTAAAGCAGCACTGCTGTAAATCCAACCACAAAGTAAAACTACTTAAATGTTACAAGAACATTTGACTGAAAGAAAAAATCAGAAAAGAACAGCAAGAAAAAAAAGTTGTAGATCAAAATTTACCCAGAGGCAGTTCCAAAAGCTGTAACCATCGCATGTATCATTGCTTCAAAAACATTCCAAGGATTTTTTCGAGTTATCAAGAAATAGATTCCTGGCATAACAAAAACAGTGTGCAAAGAAAGACCCAAAATAACTGTAAATACATATAGCACTAAAACTTGTGCCATATCAGACAGATCAGCAATTTCAAGCACATTTCCAATCATCAAACAAACGATTCCCAGTGGAGCAAACCTGAAAGGTTTACTCAATAAAACTGTTTGAAGTCCAATCGGTGTCTCAGTTCGTTTTTTCGTATCATAATAGAAATTTAAGAGTTTTAATCACTAATTTCAATATATTATTATTCTTAATATTTATTTGTCAGTTTTTTTTTTGCTTTTTAACTAGAGGAATTTTCTAATAACTGTACAAAATACTCAAAAATAAAGAGCAGAAGGACTATTTTGCTACAGCTCCAAAACAAGGCATTAAAAACTTACCACATAAGGCCTTCGACCCATAGCATAATAACAGCATCAAGATTGGCAAAAAATTCAACTAAAATTTTGCCACGTTCACGAACTGTCGATATAACTATACCGAAACCAGTGCAAAAAACTAGAATTCCTAAAAAAATCGTTGCTTCTAACCAGCAAGATAACTCGAATACAAATAAGCTGATCAACAAAAATAACTTCTGCTTCAAAGCTTTTCTATTTATCAAGCAAAACCTGATGCTATAAGAAACGCTTTGCTTTAGCTATGTCACTATGTTAAAAAAAAAACTTTTCAAAGGAACGATAGTTATATCTTTCACCAAAAAATTGACAAACACTGTAGATATCTTGAGAAATCTTTATTTTTATATAAAAATTTTAAAAACAGTTCTTAGTAATTTTATTTTTTAAAGTAATTGTTATACGAAATTCTTGACTCCAATAACATCAAAGCTATAAGTAAAGTTTAAAAAAAACCTAAAACATTTGTGCCCCTTATTGAACGGATTTCTCTGACCAACTTTGGTACAGTTTCTGTCCAAACAGTATCATTTAACGAGCTCGCGTTCAGTATCGTTTTTTTGTACGTCAGTTTTGCAGGCTTATAAGACGTCTGCACCAGTTGAAAGCAGGCCTTAATAATGTTTGACGGAAACATATTCCTGCAAAATGAATGTCCAATCGTGTAAGCAGATAAATTATTCAATTTGACTGCAAACTAATGTTTACTTAGTTAGTGTACAATTTTGATATGTTAAGGTTGGAAGCAGTTTTAGAAAAATAAACTTCAAAAATAAAGAAAAGAGAGGATAATAAGTCGTATTTCTTAAAACAGTTTTGTGGGTTTTTGAATAAACCTTCAATACCTGACCATATCGAGTACAGTGTCAAGTGCCGAAATATCCTTCTCTTCAGGAACACTTTCAACACTACCTCCTTTTGCTGCTGGATTACCAGGATGAATTAGCAATACCAAAGCTAAGCCAAGCTAAAAATATTACAGACCTGTTAACAGCAAATGTTGACAGCAAATACTTTTTACCAAATAAATTTTTATATATTTTTACATAAATTTATAAATGTTGTTGCAAAAAACGGAGAAACAAAGTAAAAGTATCTCTACCATTATTGATACTATTGCTGTGAGTATATAGTAGAGTAAAGTAATAAAGCCCATTCTGCCAGCTTTTTTTGCATCCATTTGTGCCAAAGCTAAAGTTGATAAAAAAAAAGAAAAAGTTGATAGAACTTTCTTTATTTGTTAAATTTGAGAAATTTTAAAAAAAAATAATCAAAAAATAGCAACAAAACTATATATAATGCCTAATTAATTTAATTTAAAAAACTATTACTTTAAGATAAGAATTATAAATTTTACATATAACTATATCGTTCAAAAAAAAGGCAAGAAATCAAATAGTTATCTTGAGTCACCTGAAATAAGTGAAGTAAAGATCAGCGGTAAAATCATCATCTTAAGCATTTGCATAAACAGTTCACCAGGAAAATTAATTAGTCGAATAACTTCTTCGGAAAGTTTTAGTGGACGTAACAGGAACCCCAGCAATAGACCAATTACCACTGCCGATATAGTCAACAACAACAACAAATTCTTTCGACAAAATCGCCGTGTCGGTTTCCATGCCATTTGGCA